CCTGTAAAGGTCCTACAAGGGTCCTATAAACGGACGCTATAACGGCTCCTTTGAGGCTTCCCTTCAGTCTATAAGAGGTCCTGGGCGTTACCCTAAGGGTCCAAGTACCTAATAATCATATACTCTCCCAAATAGTAGCCTATATAACTACTATCCGAAACCTAAGTATCTCATTATTGGGTCCTTTGGACCCTTAAGGTTTCAGCTCAATTTGGAAGGGGTGGGTTTTAGGGTTGCTTTTTGCCTTCAGCCGGCTCGTTCGTATGGGGTCAGGTCTCGGACATTTCCGTTATCGGAGCCTTAGAGAAGGTCTGTTATCTTATGGAGGCCTTATAGAAGCCCTGTAGGCCCCAAACTCCCCACCTGTACCTTCCTTTTAGGGTTTAGGGTTTAGGGTTTAGGGTTTAGGGTTTGTGCCATTCCCAAGTGCCAATACCCCGGAGGCACCCTCGAGTCCTCAAGCCTCAACCCTAAACCCCGAATTCTTAGTTGACCCGAGGCCCCTTCAAAATACATCCCCCTTGTAGTTCCTGTCCTTTTCACACTTTAACAGTCCCCTAAACCCTATGCATTATTAAGGCCCCCCCAAAACCCTAAACCCCTAAACCCCTAAACCCCTAAACCCCTAAACCCTAAACCCTAAATCCTGCATGGGTAATCGCAGATGTCAGGACCTTGGGGGGACCCGCGCCCACGATCGTGGCAGAACAAGACCTGTCCGACGACTTCTCGCGCATCGGACAGTCCTTCCCGCTCCTTGCGGCTTTTGGGTTTACAGGGTTTAATGGTTCCGGGGTTTAGTGTTTAGGGGTTTAGGGTTTAGTGGTTTAGAGGGTTTAGTGGTTTAGGGGTTTAGGGGTTTAGGGTTTGGGTTCTGGCTTTTTGGGTTTAGACGGTTTTGTGGTTTAGTGGTTTAGGGTTTAGGGGCCTACGGGCTCAGGGTTACCGCCCGTTTCGGAACTTTGCGAGCCTTATTATGTGTGGGTAATTAATGCCCTTGATCCCTACTTCCAGAAACCCAAAGCCCCACTCACTAATCCTACCCCGGTTGAAATCATGAAGTTACGGTCTAGAGTTCCAGGTTCAGCCTGCTTGAAATTTAGGGTTCAGGGCATCGGGGTCCGTTTACGTGCCAAACCCCTTCCTAGTGCACTTGTGCAGGATCCATGCCTCCAGCCAGCAGCAACAGCGATCCGGGTTGAGGGTGTCGGGTGAGTGCTTGGGCTTGTGGGTCTAAGTCTTGATTCAGTTTACTGGAAGCATTTATACCTACCAATATTATTCTTAGGGTTCCTTATTATCATAACTATACTAGAATATGCCCCAAAGCCCCTATTCTACTTACTCAGGCCCTCTTTATTTAGGGGCATGGTGAAGGCTGAAGCTGGGTGCTGGGCAGTTCCTTGCTCCTTGGAGCACGGCCCTACACCCCAACAGTCCCATTGGCTGCCCCACGCCAGAAATCCAAACCTGCTGCTTCATGGGCAAAACGCCGCATACTATAGTTCCTCATCCTAAACCCAAAACCCTAAACACGAAGCCCTAAACCCTAACCCCCAACCCCCTAAACCCTAAACCCTAACCTTTAAACCCCTTATAAACCCTAAACCCGAAACCCTGCAGGGTTCTGTCCGTCAGAGATCCCAAATCCCTGAAAGCCCAAACTCGGAGGTCTCAACTGAAATCGTCGTGCCTAGGCTGTTCTTGACATTCAAGAAGCTCATTCGACTTCTCGACTCAGCCGTCGGAGGTCGGTGAATGCAAGCAGTTGGAGTGGCGGATCGTCGCGTTTGGGGTTGAGCGCTTTGCTTTTTGGGGCCTGCGGTTGCTATAGATTTGAAGCAGGCCCTAAACCGACTCGACAGGAGAGTCATGGCAAGTGCCACCTTAGCACTCTAAAGCCTTGCAGTTCTAGGAGACTTGCAAAGGCTCACCTCCAATCCAGAAAAGCGCCAAAGTCTTGAGATCCGAGAGCGAGAGAGTTTCAGCCCGGAAGCAAAAGAGTTTGTGATTCGAGTGAAAGCCGGGATCTTGAGGTAGTGAAGCCCAAAGCGTTGTACAGGCGAGCCGTTCTTCTCCCGACTGGCGTCTGGCAAGATCGACGACAAGACAGTTGTGTTTGCTGGAGATACTGGAAGGGTGAATGTGGCCATGGGCAGGCTCTGCAAAGCTCTGGCGTCCATGGTGGGATTCGGACTGCAGCCGCAACAGCAGCAATCTCTGCAGCAGCCACAACACAAGAATTGCTTACATCTTGCGTTCAGTGTGAAGTAGTAAGCAAAGCTTCATCAAAGGCCCGAAGCTTGTCAGACCAGAGCTGCACTTGAGAAGGTAGGAGAATAAACAATTGTTGCCAAGCCGAAGGCCGTTTTAGGTGAAGCCGCATATTTCCATCCATCTGTCCCACGATCCATTGTCCGAATAGCGGCCTTTGTCCACCTGATGCCAAGTGCATATGCTTGATACTCGCAGGCGCGGAAAGACCCCGTCGAAGTTCGGATGCCGGCAGGAGGTGGACTTCAACTTTTTCCAAGCCCACCTTTGGCGAGAGATGAAAGGGAAGTCCGAGCACATCGCCCCTGCAGTGGTGTGGCGCGAAATTCAGACCTTCATTAAGGGGCATCGGAAGGTCGCGGACTCGCGCGAAGGCTTTCTAAGTCGGGAAGACTACATGGAGCTTGTGGGAATGAAGATGAACTGGGCTGTCCGGGGATCTCGAGATGATCTTTACGATCTCTTCCTCTCGTACGAGAGCTGCAAGAAGGCGATCAATGGCTTTGATCGAATGGATGTGGCTTTTGACGTTCTCAGGCGCCTTCAGCAGTGCCTCAGATGCACACGGAATCAAAGGTAGAGCAAGGAGCCTAGCACCTGTAGAGAATCGGGTTTCCAAAAAGAAGATCAGGGCCGTAAAAAAGCCCCGTTTGCAAAAGCCCAGGCATGACTACAAAGGTCCACCCATTCATCACCTCTACGTGGATGAAGTGCAGGCAGGCACCAAGTCCTGAGTAACCCACGGCCGACTCCTTAACTTCACACTCTAAACAACGGACACCAGAATCGTGAGCTCCACAGGTTCAGCTGAACTACATATAGTATGTCCGCGCATGAGGTACACACACACACATATGTATGTTCATATGCTTGTACACCTGCACATGCGCACGTGCATGCATACCTATAACCCTAAACCCTATAACCCTAAACCCTAAACCCTAAACCGTGCTACATTGACATGGACTTAAAAATGGCCTTCATGCAAGTCGGGCAAGGGTTTTGTCTGATCAGGGATCTGTGCTTTGTTAGTGCTCTAAGCGCAGGAGCTGTGGAGCCTTAGGTAGCTCCAAGCCAGATGCTTCAAAGCGCCCTGCCTCAACCCCAAATAATCTACCCTTTTTGAGGACTTACACAGAGAAATCAGAATCAGGAACCCTGAAATGGTAGGTTCTTGAAGGGTCCAGGTAAGCCCTACTCACCGAAGCCCTAAACCCTATACCCCTAAACCCCGAAACCCTAAACTCCAAACCCTAGGCCCTAAACCCTAAGCCCTAAACCCTAAAAGCCTTAAGCCCTAAAAGCCCTAAGCCCTAAACCCCAAAAGCCCTAAACCCTAAACCTTAAGAGCCCTAAACCCCAAGCCCTAAACCAAGCAACGTCTTGTCTTGCCTCCCAAAGGCGACTTTGAGTCGTAGCTGCTCGCAGGCTTATGATTCAACACTTTCAGATTAAAGAGAGAGGCCTCAACAAATAACCTATACTTTTTTTTTGGGGGGGTACCTTATTTATAGAGAGAGAGATATATATCTATATATATATATATATATTTTCTATATATTGGGCTTCCTTATTTATAGTTATAGTATACGTAATTTAATATACCCCCGAAGCCCTGTTCTAAAAACCATAAGGCCCCCTTATTTATAGTTACAGTAATTATGATATACCCCAAAGCCCTGTTCTAAAACCATAAGGGCCCCTTTATTTATAGTTACAGTAATTATGATATACCCCCAAAGCCCTGTTCTAAAACCTTAAGGCCCCTAAACCCTAAACCCTAAACCTTAAACCCTAAACCCTAAACCCTAAACCCTAAACCCTAAACCCCTGTATTCTGTGTGGAGTTGAGCCTTTCGCCACCGGAGCAAGGCATGGATTTGGGGTGTTCAGGATGCCATCGACTTCTGGGTTCTTTCTCAGAGTTTAGGGTTGAGGGTTCAGGGTTTAGGGTTTAGGTTTAGGTTTAGGGTTTAGGGTTTAGGGTTTAGGGTTTTGGGTTTAGGTTTAGGTTTAGAGTTTAGGGCTTAAGATTTAGGTTTAGGGTTCAGGGTTTTGGGTTTAAGTTTAGGTTTAGGGTTTAAGATTTAGGTTTAGGGTTCAGGGTTTTAGGCTTAGGGCTTAGGGTTTTTCTTTGGGACACCATGCCGAACTCGTCGTAGCGAGGACCTGGCGCAGATCGAGGCTGTGCTGATGATGCGCGTGCTCCCCAACCCTCAGGCCGTCGGCCAAATGAGGATTCAGCATGCCCTTGTTTGGCTTTGGAATTAAGGATTTTGGTTTTGTGTGTGTTGACCTCCCGGTTTCTTCACCCTAAACCCCAAACCTTCGTCTTTCCTACGCCATCTCGACAGGCCATCGTCTTTGTCGGCGACACTTGCCAGACGGTTTCCAGCGAGACAGACTTTCGCTTCAAAGACTTGCGGTCCTGTGTCAAGGCCCAGCTGGCGGGCTTCCTCGGTCTGAGGGTCTGGCCCTTTCATGCCTCTGAAGACTTAACCTGGACCCCAAACCCCGAAACCCTGAAACCCTTGAACACACAGACCCGGAGCCCTAAACCCTAAGTTTCAACCTTGAATAAAGAGCTGTTTCTCCCGTAATGTCCGACTTTTATGTGAAATCTCCAGAGCCGGAAACGCCGAAAGCAGAGCTTTGTGGCTCCAGGGTTTTAGGGTTTAGGGCTTCGGGTTTAGGGTTTTATAGGATTTAGGGTTTTAGGGTTCAGGGCTTTAGGGTTTAGGGCGTTTTAGATCCGAGGCGTAAGCAGGTTTTAGGGATTAGGGCTTTGTAGCTGCACTCGCTGAGCTGTGGCAGGAGATATTCTATCCGACCTCCAGCCCGGAAGTGGTGAAGGAACTCTGGTCGCTCCTGGTGAACTATCGTTCGCATGATGGCATCGTGCAGGCCATTCCTAAGTATTCTGTTCCCGGTTCTGCTAGGCTTGGTGGTGGCGGTTTTGGTGGCAACGGTGGCAAGTATGTGGCAGGGTGCTCTAGCGTAGCCCAGGAAGGGCACATAGCAAACCCTGCAGACAGCAGATATGGAGACATCGCATTCGGAACGTCATGTCCCTAAACCTTAAACCCTAAACCCTAAACCCTAAACCCTAAACCCTAAACCCTAAACCCTAAACCCTAAACCCCCAGGCCCCCAAATCATAAAGTGTAAGTCATAAGCCCCACTAGACACTGAACCGTCAACCGCCAATAGGGGCCTGAATAATTAGAGTAGGGTTTTGAGGCTCATTATACTATAATTACAATAAGGAATCCCCAAAATAGTATTGGTAATTATTTAGGCCCCTAAACCCTAAACCTTATAAGCCCTATGAGCCCTATAAACC